TTTAAAGTATACAAGGAATTAAATAATTTCCCAGAATTCTTTTAAGGAGTCCTTGGCAAAAACACATTTAAAAACTATTATGCAAAATGCTATATGGTTTAATATTAGTTCATCTGTATTATGCAATTATTCAGAAAGGATACCTGGATAAATTTTTTACAAACCAAGTTACATAAATGTATATAATTAATTGGAACACATAACCAGATTGTATGAGTGCTTCCTGTTGAAGTGACTCTTGCTGTTTTCTTCTCTAGTATCAATGACTAAAGCACAACTATTTTCATTACATTGGATTGAACTGTGTTTTTGTTGTTAGAAAACAGTCAAAATCTGTTCTAATGTGCGGGCATCAGATATTAGGACAAACAGGATGGTCCTAAGAATCCTGAACAGGTTCTTTAAGTCCTAACTGCTGCTGATGATTTCATAAAAGATTTTAACTTACCTTTTGGCTTCTGGTCACCCATTTTAGCCTCTGTTTGGTTTTCCCTTTATTCTCCCTGTCTATTCCCACGGATCAAATGACACAAGTAGAATTCCTTACATACCTTACTTTTCCTCCCTATTTCTAGTGCTTGTTCATTTTGAATATTAATCATACTTTCATCCTGAGGGCTTTTTTTTTTTTTTTTGGAATTATTTTCATCAGGTCTTCCCAGTTAGAAGCCTGCTTGGGTAATTAACAACTTCTTAGCTCCATCCAACCCTCTTTCCTTCAGTCCCGTGGCTCTATCTACTCTTAGCCCTCTAAATGCACTAATGATACTGCTTCTCTCTGGCCATTCCAGCTACCATCTTACTGTACCTCCTTTTGACTCTTCATGTCTGGTTTCTCCTCCCCTGGCCACCATCATCTCACAAAGGACAGAATAAACTAGATATAGTCCATAGGTAGACAAAAGTCCATAGGCTATTGAAATAGCCACTTAGTAATGTACTTGTGCAAAGCCCTCACTTCAGAATATTCTGCCCCCTGAATGTTTTCCATATGCTGTTGAAAGTGATCTTTTCTGACTACTTACCAAAATTCATTCTGAAGTCCCAAGG